AATTCGTCTAATTAGTGGGAGTTTAAATGACTTTCTTAAGGCACATTCAAACCATCATTAAGAAGATTTGGCATGAGCGAAAATTTTCGCGAAGTTCGTGAAGAATCTTGACTAATGAACAACAAGATCAACGGGTATGGAATTTCAACTAAAAATTCTGAACTGTGTTAGAGAAAACATTTTTTTTTTCGTTAATATGGTTATCGGAGAGAAGAACCTAATTGTGTCCAAATACGATCGGAGACCGAAACGCCAAAGTTCGGGATGGCACACAAAGAAGTCTCCCGGATAAGCAAATCCAGGTTGAAGCAATGCTTCTGGTCTTTTTCAAACGGTTTCAAATTGTCCGATTGGTGGCGCCTTGAGTTCTTCTTTAGATCCTCCGGAACAAAACAGTGGGGCCAAGTCGGGGCTGTATGGCGGGCTGGGCAATGGGGCTGCCACGCGTTTTCGCTAAGTATCTCTAATAATGAGGTGTGCGAACGGCCGTTGTCATGATGAGACGCCAAGTGCTGGCGATCTCCTTCCTGGCGCGTTTCACTCTGCTTTGGAGCTTTTCAGGACTTGAAGTAAAAATGACTGTTCCTCCTTTGGTCCTGTGGCACAACTCTGAGTGGACATACTCTTTTGTCGAACAAACGATGAGCATGGCCTTCACGGGATTGCTCATTCTCGTCGCCTTTTGGGCGCGGGAAGCTGGCGGTGGCACTCAGCACTTTGTCTTTTGGTCCAGGTCATACTTCCGGAAAAACAAACCCGTTTGTTCCGTCACCCGTATCACATATCAAAAATTCGAATTTTCCACATGCTCCAAGAGGTCATGCGAAATCCTTGCAGAGCAGCCTTCTTGTTCATCGCAAAGGACTTGGTACCATCTTCGCACAGATCTTCCGCATGCCCACAATCTTCGTAACAATGCGATGCAACAGTATTAGAGATATTATACTCTTCTGCCGCATTCTAATGACTCAGCGCGTCGATTAAGTTCAGCATGTCCCTCCTTTCTTCAAGCATTGTGATGCGGAAATGGTGACGTTGAACGGGGGTCAGAGGGACTTCATCTCGGCGTCCTCATCTGCTCTCGAAACATCTTGGTGCCAGCGGTAAAACCTATTGTTTGGACATGGTGCTATCGACTAAGCTCCCTTAGGATGGCAAGGTCCTGCGCGCCCGTTTTTCTTGAAAGGAACACAAATCTTTATTGCGTAACGCTGGCCTTGAAACGTGGCATCTTAAATTCCGACGCGTCACTAACACAAGGGTTGAAACTAGCAGCGATGCGACTGTGGAAGAGCTGTGCAGACAACTGATGTGGTTTGTCCTGGTTCCCTAAACGCCATCACAACTATTCACGTACTTGGCGGCCCCTTGCTATGGCCTTGCTTCGCGCGGCGCAAGTCATTCAACTTTACTTTTTGGGACAGACTTTGTACCCGAGGATCAAGAAGGAACTCAAGGGCCACCAATTCGGGACTTTGGAAGCCGTCAAAGAAGCAACGACGAGGTGCTTGTAGGAGGTCACCGTCGATGCCTTCCAGGGTGCGTTCAGCGACTGGGACTGAAAACTGGGCTTGAAACTGGGTGTTCCGACGCGGAAGGAAGCTACTTTGAAGAATTTTAGTTACTTGTATATTTATCTGCAATAAATCTTTTTTCTTGGACTTATTCAACTTACTTTTGGGACAGACCTTGTATGTTGCCATTAATGACCACGTTTTACTGTTCTTTAATATTCTTAAAATAATATGTTCGTTATACGACTAGAAAACCAAAAACGGAAGGGAGTTTAAAAAAATTGAAGCTCTTGTTCACAGAACAGTTTTGAGTTTTTGAAAAACTTTATTACATTTAACTGACATTAACTCACAAATAAAATAGTGTTTGCAAATTGGTGGAAATGTGGATATTAACGGCGAGAGTGATCTTCCAAAAACATATTTGTATAATTTTACAAATAAACAAAAAAAGTACCCCAGAATGAACTTTGTTATATTAAACAGTGCAATTAGCACTACCCCTTTGAAAAGTTTGAAAGACAAATTTGGAGCCGCTTGTGAGAAGATGGCGTTCGAGCGTTTCTGAAAATGGTTGAGTTTTTGATAAACTGTTAAGTGTTCTCACGAAGGCCCCAGTTTATGTCGTCGCATAGAGAACATTTAGAAATATCCCTACTAAAAGTTCAAGGAAAGCATTTGGGGCAGTTTTTGAAAAAATCTTGTGTTTGTGCCTCTTTGTTAATGATGGGAGGAATTGGTTTGTCGCATCTTTCATTTTCCAATCATCTTTAAAAAATTTCAATTTTTGTGTCATAATCTTAATCTGCAGTCAAGAATGGCAATGAATAGAAGTGAGTGGAAAGAAATCTCGAATATTATAATGAACAGTAAATAAAAGATGACATAAAATATGCAATGAACTTTAAAGTTGTAGTGAACTTTCAGATTGAGTGCAGTGACCAATGATAAAAAAAGATGTAGTGAACTTAAACTTTTAATTATTATAGTTAACATTGTATATATTATTTGCTTCAAATAGCCCTTTAAAAAGTAGTTTGTTTTCTACAAGGACTTCAAAAACTCTCGGCAGGACGGGCTATTCTGGTAGAGTAATAGTACGTGTCAGCCAACTTTCAGAGTGGGAGGTCTTGCTCAGTATCGGGGTGTGTGACATAATAATAATAGTAATAATAATTATTATGATAAAAATAATTGTGATAAAAGTAATTGTGTTTCAGGTAGCATTGCGACACCACCATGGGCCAAGTGGAAAGTTCTGCGCCTTTTTCGGGTTATGTTCACGTGGAGTCAGCTGAGGACGCAGTTGTCCAGATGGCGGTGCAAGGCGAGATCGATGGTGCTGCGCAAAGCGCGGTCAGCAACCTGGAGAAGCGGCACAAAACAAGGATTCGAGAGCTGGAAGAGAGAGTTGTAAGTATTGCCAGGGACTAGTAGAGCCCTGGGGGGGGGGTCCCTAACTCATCCACTAGCGGAATTAATAAGATGCTTGCTTGATTAATTGATTTATCAGTGATTCTGACGCGAACGAATAGAGTAGTTATTCCCGTAAGTGTAGTGCGTGTTTTTGCTCGGAAGGTGGCTGTGATCTCGCCCCCGCTGTATGGTGAGATCCGGCGCTGACCTACCGTTGAAAGACCAGAAGCATTGCTTCAACCTGGATTTGCTTATCGAGGAGACTTCTTTGTGTGCCATCCCGAACTTTGGCGTTTCGTCTCCGAATCTATTTGGACACATTAGGTTTCTTCTCCGATAACCATATTAACGAAAAAAAATGTTTTCTCTAACACAGTTCAGAATTTTAGTTGAAATTTCCATACCGTTGTCTTTTTGTTCATTAGTCAAGATTCTTCGCACGAACTTCGCGAAAATTTTCCTCATTGCCAAATCTTCTGTAATGATGGTTTGAATGGTGCCTTAAGAAAGTCTTTAACTCCACTAATTAGGACGAATTGATAACCGGCGATTTAAGTACCTAAGTTGTTTCACTTTTGTCACATTTTCGTCGACCCTTAAAGTTGACTGGTCATCCTCAACGAGTTCCCTCCCCTCCTGGAACAACTTGTGCTGCTCAAAAAGTCTTGAGGGTCTCACAGAAGCCTTCGCGGAGGCATGCTGGATCATCTCTGATGTTTCCGTGGCGGTTTCTCCAAGTTTGAAGCCAAACATCACACTGTAACGAACTCTGTTCCATGCTGAGCGTGACCACACTCCTTTACAGCGATTCGCGGGGAACAGTGTGTTCACTCTTCAATGGCAACTGCGGAAGCTCGCTAAGGGTTCCCAGAAGCGCGTCCAGCCAGTCGGGCACCCCTCCGTCGGTTTGTCTGGCCTACAGAAAATCGGATGCACTACTTTTTGACGCTAAACAATGCTTCCGGTCTTTTGTGATCGTCGTGGTGTTATCCCCATGGATTTCGTACCTCCGGTGCAAACCGTCAACGCACAGGTTTACGCGGAAGTAGTCTGTCGGTTGTGAAAACGAGCCAATCGCTTGCGCCCACACATCGCCCGTTCGTGGAAGCTCCACCCCGTCTCTGTGGCGTGCCACACCGCTCTGTTGGGTTAAGGAGCGGCTAGCTCGGTACGGTTTTATCACGGTGTCGCAACCCCTCCACAGCCCAGACATGGCACCGCCTGACTTCTTGCTCTTCCCTCGCCTCAAACGGGCCATGAAGGGACACCGTTTCGACTCCCACGAAGGCGTTCGAGCTGCTGTAGCAAGCACTCTCAACAGCTTTCCGGTCAATGATCTCGGCGTTCTAGCGAGAAGGCTTTCGCGGCTTAGCAGACGCTTTATATTCGGTGGGTGGAAGCCAAAGAGTCCTACTTCGAAGATTATTAAGGATTTGTAAAGATACATGTAATCAATTATTGTTAAAAAAATCAGTCCTTTTTGATCGCATCTTGTATATAACGAGGCATTCCGAGACACGCATAAACTTATAAAACGAGCTACAGCCCTTTTAAAAACAATTGATAGGAGTAACAAAATCAGATTAAACAATATTACAGTAAGAGTTGAGCCATCCGTACTAAAATGTTAGTTACGTTGTTTGCAGGTGGCCTTGGAGGCGAACACTTCAGAAGATGAACGCCAGGTGAACGCCGCGCTGAGATACACCAAAGAGCGATTCACCCAAATCGAGAAGCGATTCACCAATATGCAGGAACGTTTAACCAAAATGGATCAACGTTTCACCGAAATGGAGGATGTGCTCCAGCGGACGGTGACGAAAAATGTCATCGAATTGGAGGAATCGCTGCAGCGAAAACTGGATATTTTGATGCCTAAGGTGGAGGAACTTCTAGCATCCCACCCCAGAGCGTTCTCCACTCCCAGTGCCCAGGGCGAATTCCCTCCAGCGCAGCTCTCTTCTGCAGCCACTAACTCCTCGCCAACTCCCACTCCATTACTCAACATACAACTCCCTGCATCTACCACCGCGGCTCCAAAGCTCTCTGAATACTCCGAAGAAAACTTACCACAAAATTCAGTCGGCCCTCCAGCTCCCTCCACCCAGGACGACTCGGCCTCAGTCGCCCCAACGACGCTTCTGGAGGCCGCGGAGAAGGGAGATGTGGCAGCACTGCGGCGGTTTGTGGCTGCCGGAGGAAGAGTAAATGCGCGGGACGAGCGCGGCAACACCGCGCTGCACCGCGCTGCGAGCAAACGGCCGCACGAGCTGTGACGTGCTGATTGCAACGGAGCGGCGCGTGACAGCTGGCTACCATGCGTCGCACCCCGCTCCACTGCGCGGCACGCCACGGCATCGGCGACGGTGGCGCGCCTGGTGGGGCGCCGGGGCGGCAGTGGAGGCGCGGCGGACGTCCCGCGGCGCCACCGCCGTCCCCTCGCCCCCGAGGAGGCCACGCGGCCGCGCTGCGTCGCTCCTGGAGCAGGGCGCGTCGTGGAACATCGTTAGAGGACTCGAGCGAAGACGCCCTCTCGCACGCCGTCAGGGGGAACTTCTCCGCTGCGGTCGCTCTGCTGGCGGAGAAGGGGGCTGACGTGAACGCGACTGCAAAGGGCGAGAACAGTCCTCTCATGCACGCTGTAAAACACGTAAACCTCGAGGTAGTGACATGTCTCTTGGAGAAAGGAGCCAATGTGAACAAACCTAATTGTAATGGTGACTCTCCCTTATTGGTGGCAGTAATAAATCAGCGAAGAGATTTTGTACATTTGCTGTTGGAGAAAGGGGCCTCTCCAATACAGAAAAACAACAGCTGCCAGTTTCCATTGTTTGTTGCTTCTAGAGACGGACACGAGGCCATTCTTACACTTTTGCTGAAAGCGGTCCAACTATCCGAGAGGGCCGAGATAGGACGCTCCCTGATAGTGGCTGCTAACGCTGAGGTGGTGTGGATCTTCGCGGACGCTTTTCCTGACGTGGTGCAAGGGGCAGCAGGGAGGAGGGCGTTAGTTGCTTCAGCGGCGGACGGACGCCAGGAAGCTCTTCGCGCGCTGTTGCAACTGGGCGTCAACGCCAATGCTACTGACACGAGGGTATTGACTGCACTGCACAACGCTGCTTCTGCAGGCCACACCTCCTGCGTGCGCACGCTGGTGGAGGCCGGTGCCCAAGTGAACGTTAAGAACCAATTTGGCCAAACTCCTCTCCATTTTGCCGCAAGGGAAGGGAAAAGAGAGTGCGTTGTCGCGCTGATAGAGGCCGGTGCCCAAGTGAATATTGAAGACCAATGGAACTGTACTCCTCTGCTTTTAGCCACCGTAAACGGGAAAAAAGGTTGTCGCCTTGGAGATCGTGCCGAAGAGGACGAAGGGGGCCGAACTCCTCTGCATATAGCCAAACAGAATGGGCACAGAGAATGCATGGACCTGCTGTTGAAAGCGGAAAGTTTATGTGCGTGAATGTTAAGGACAAACGGGGCCAAACTACTGTGCTAGTCGCACGCTACGAGAAATGAGAATGCGGCGTCTCGACTGATGGAGTGCGGCGCAGACGTCAACGTATGATCTTACTGTGGTTACAATGTTGTGGATTGGGGACGAACGGGCAACCTTGGAGATTTCTCGCTCGAGATCCTGCAGCGAACTGGGCCGAGAGGAAAATTAGTTGCGTTTTGAGGCAACTCACACCTAACCATTTTACCATGGAAAGGACGTTTCTTCTACTGATCTATCTTCCACATAACTGGTAATAGGAGGAATTCCAATTTTAATGCATTTTCTCAGTTCACAAATACTTCTCGGTGTCACAAAAACAAAAATGGTGGTATGTGGTAGTAAAAAACGTGGTAGATTAACCGTATTTTAACACAAAAATTACTTGTAATATGTTATAAAAACTGCGTTATTGGTGTAATACTGGAACGTCCTTGGTTGTACCGTCTTTCAACGCAGACAAATGGCTGCCTTTTTTCTGAATTTAGAAAAATCAAGAACGCGAAGCCAAATTCAGTTAAATTTGTATTCAAATAATAAGTAGGTATGTAAAACAAATATGTATTAAAGCTTCTTTTTACTGTACTGGTATTTAAATATGTGAGTTCAAGATACTTCCTTACGTTTTCAAATATTCAGGCGCTTTCATAAACTGTCGAAGAGAAATGAATATTTCTTGAAATGTATTTTAATTAGAAAATTACGTAAATACCTCTTTTTAATTTTGTTTAATTCAATTTTTATTACATTATATTTGTCATTAAATATTTTATGTTACATGATGTGTTAATATGCTACTCCGGAACTGGGGTGAGGTGAGGCCCCTTCGAACTTGCGTCATTAATCAAAGAATACCAAAATTGAATTAAGAATGCCCTAGAACCAGGCTAATACTTTATGATACAATAAAAGGTTTCATCGCATTATTTTCCCCCGTAATTCGTCTGGCAGACAGCTATTCTGAACGTCCCGATGGGACGCATATTCGTCGATACACTAGACACCAACACACTTGTGGCCTCCTCTGATCTGGGGTCTGCAGAGCGCGAGACCCTCCGCATACAACACATAAATAGAGGAATACACATAATAACACACATAGATAGAGGGACAAACAACCACACTCGCAGCAGAACTCGAGCCCGCAACCCTTCGGGCCGAAGTGCTGAATCGGTGTACGCTCTTAGCCACCTCGACCATTCAAGTCTACTTCATAGCGTTATAAACAGTAAATTTTAAAAAATGACAAAATAGCAAAAAGATGATCCAAACGCGCTAGCCTACAATACCACGTGAATGAATTTAATAAATCAACGAAATTTAAAATTATAGAAAATACTCAACAACTGCGCAATAACTCAACTACTGCCAACGATAACAATCCAGACCCAAGGTTTAAATGTTGACGCTATCTGGAAGTCTGTACATCAGTGCCCAGCTGTAAACTCATTGTAAATTATACACCGTTTGTTATTAAACTTAAGGTATCGGTTCGCTAAGATATTCAATACATAAACATCGTAAAGTCTAAGCCCACTCAATTGTTTCTAATGATAACAAAGGGTATAGGTGAAAATATTAGCTTTATTACTTTTTGGCTCGGAATTATTTTGCTTGAGACACGTAAGAACGCAGAAAATAATCAAATACCTTTTAGTATTATTCAATAATTTATCGATGTTCGCACCCCAGCAAGAGATGGAAAACGTTACATGGCAAAATATTTAATAACCTTTTATAATACTTTCGTGACTATCAAGGCAAGCGAAAAGCTAACTGTTAAAAAAATTGAATAATTACTTCAAATGTTGTGTTAAGAAAGTGTGAATTAATCGAAGAACATATCTAATATAATTCTGTATACATCTTTATTGAACAATTGTTTCCCACATCAATTGCATTGTTTTTATTGTTTAATATCGTGCAATCACGAACATTTACACAATTTTCCTTCTTAATGGAAAGGATAAGGGAAGGGTGGGCATGCAAATGGGAGGTCTCGCACTTGTACGCTAGTCCTAATATAAATTCCTTCAAAATACGGAGTCTATTTGAATTCAAATCCCAAATTATATTAGCAATTTACAATTATAACGCAATGCGAATAACACCTTCGACTCTTACTCTGCACAATGCCAAGCTATGAAAACTAATCAAATGTTACCCTACTCATCACTAAACTGCTTTTGAGAAAATGGCGTTTGAGCGTTTCTGAAAATGCGGAATTTGAAGCCAATTATCACAGAGAACTGTTTGAGTTTTCGAGAAACTTTATATGACATTAAAGAATATGTCCTCATAAAGATAATAATGTGAACAAATTACCGGTAATACAAATATTAACGACGTGAGTGACTAGTCAAAAAGTTACATGTTTGTAGTTTTTGAGAAAACAAAAGAATAGAGCGAACTGATTTACGTTATCTCATAGAGTATATTTAGCACTAAACCTACCAATAGTTTAAAGAAAAAAAATGGAGTTATTTTTGAGAAAATCTTGTTTTTGTTATTTTTTTAAATTGAAAATATTGCACGCATTACTGCGAGAAAACTAATAAAATTTTCAAAACAATGTACTTGTCATCAAAGAATTAATTATTCAAAACAAATTTCATTTAAAGGAAAAACCTCCATCTTTTATTCATACTTTCGATGTTTTCAGAGTTTTCGAAAATTCAGAGTTAATGAAAATCGGACCTGTGCCACTTTTATAAGTGTACGATACTCCATTCTTACAAGAAATTTAAAGAAAAAATTGGAGCCGTTTTTGAGAAAATTTTGAAAATGTCCCAGGGGCTTCATGTAAAATACCTCCAAGCTTGTCAAAATGTCAAAGCTTCGTCTCCAGCCAGGGCCGGAGTATCTTGAATTTAGAAAAAAATCCTATGCGTGATTTAGGCGCTAGTAGTGTTCACAGACCGACATTTTAAAACTAACCATTTTTCGCTATCAGAGGACCCCAAAACGTGTATTTTCGTTTAAATCTCGAAATCGATATTCCACAGCATTACATATCTTTCCATATACTACATATATCTCTTCGTATATACTATGTGTATGGGAAAGTAAGAAGTATTACTGAGGGCAAAAAAAGACATCGTTTTGATACTTGAGTGAAAAAAGATGTGTTGAAGAAGGAAGTTAGCCGCTACAAGAGATATTTGTAGAAATGGCGGTAGATCAGAATGTTGATGAACCTAGAAACGAACTATTCATTCAGTCGAAATTGAGTTCCAAGGCCATTTTTGCCAAGGTGATGTTTTACAGGATGTTAGTCGGAGATTACAGAAGGGGAACATTGATTTGGCGAGATTAAGAAAAAACAATGGGAAGTGGAGACTGAAAATAGGTGTTCGAGAATCCAGGACTACAGTGGTCAAGGTTGCTGAAGGGACGCCGATAGGGAAGTAATACGTATTTAAGAGATTGCAAACAAAATTCATATTAAATATAGAAGGCCAAGATTGTTCTAGGATTTTAAGATTATTAGTAAATCAATTGACTAACGAATGAATTAAAAATTGTCATGGTAAACAGATTCTAAATTTTAAAACGTCTGATCCGAACGTGTATGTGAATGGGAAAATTTCTAAATATATGTATGGAGTTAATATAGAATTGTTGATGAATTTAAAGTCGAGGCAAGAAATGATTCTAAATTAATGAACTCTTAGTTAATTTTAGACTACTCTAATACTCAAATTTTATGTATTGTTCACAACATTGATGTCCAAGAGATCTTGCTACCATTATTACTTTCCTTAATCTAAGCAATTGTACCGGCCGAATTCTCGTACGAACGGTTATTTTCAGGTAAGTAGTGTAA